GCTTCTGATACTGGTGATTCTACGTTGGCATTGGTGATGGGTTTCGTCATATCCACTGATCCACTTGGTGTCTCAGTTCGCGCTGCTGTATCAGTCCTCGCACGCTGTTTTGGATTGAGACCCTAGCCAGACATGCATGTTATGAGTACAGTTAAAGGCAAAGCTATCTGTGAAAACAAAAACTCAGTCTGAAAAACAAGCATTAAAGGACGAATTCACGCTGGAAAGGCAACCCATTTCAAATTAACTTAGCGATGGTGAGTGGTACACTAAAGAAGGAAAAACCATGAGAAACGGCCCAGAACCCGAGAAATGGGACCCCTTCCTTGCCCGTTGATTTGAGCATTGATGCGACTATCATCGCTGTGCCCTCTTCAACACTACGCTCTCTCACCTATCTAATCACTCGCCACGTATAGACCTGCGGCGAGTGATCAGATGATCGGTGGGCGTGCACTGGCCCACCGCGCCAAGATTGAGCCTTAATAGGTCGCCGAGGTCAACTCCTTCGGTGCCAATTGCGCTTCAGTCCGCACCCTTAGGAGGTCCGCGGGTCCCTCAACTAGGTGAATTACTCCTTCTTCGATCTTCATTCTGGTCGTGAATTCGTCCTTTAAATGCAGGTCGAGGTATACACAAAATCGTAGCACTGCACTTCGACGCTCTATGCTTCCGGTCAAAAGTGGAATGCATAAGGTGAGTGCCAAACGCTTTCGCTCTCGTACCTTGGTCGTCCCTTTGGATGAGCACTCCTTTTCGACGAACAGCATTTCATCGACAAAGGATCATAGTGGGTGCTTCTGGTGGCGGGTAACACGTGTGTCAATGACATGTGAAAGCGAACAGAGATGAATAATTTATAGAAAAGCTCATGCTTTCACAGCTATGTATGTACGTAGGCTATCAAACACATAGAGATGCACTGAACGTCAAGGTGGTGCGCTCAAAGTCTGTTATCTGGACATAAACACATTTCCAAACAACGTGTAACTTATCATCCACAGGAAGTGTCCCACTTCTATCTTCCCAACGCGAAGCTTGCAAGCGTGAAGTCAAGAATCGGATCCCCAATAGAAAGGATTATGAAACGGCGTCGTTTGACTAAAGTCTTCAGAAGAGAAGGAGCTGTGGCATGCGGAGACCGACACCGTCACTATAGATAGTAACGCCCGTCTCTCGCGAGCACTGGTGCAAGACGGGAGGTTCAACTAATGTTATCGACTCGATATATTTCACAGTATGTGCAAAGGCGCCCTATCTGGAAGCAGTTTGGTCCCTTAAGCTAAAATTCTCGTGGGAGTTCCATCTTCAATGGATAATTTTTGATGGGGTGGAATTTTGGCGCCTCAAGATTCACACGTGCTTTTCAGAGGCCATAAACATCCTGTAGGCGCGTGAGTGAATAGAAATAAGTGCCACTTCCGTGGATGATGTTTTTGAAGAACATATCGTGAACAGTAAAAATAAGTTAGGTTGAATCATTAGTTGTTGTTTTTCAACACGAACGCCTCTGCTCTTGTTGGCACAACGTTCAGTTATAATAGTTATTATATTATATGGTACACAATAGATATAAACAAATACAAAACTCACTAACCAACATGACAAGCCTATGATCGTACGAAAACTACAACAGTTCAAGTATCAAATCGCTACTGTTGAGATAATTAATGGAATTAGTGAGTAGTAGAACACCGTGTTAGTTAAGAGATCACTTGAAGCCGGATGATGACCCACATAGTTGGGGCTCGTGCAGAAGTAGTCACAGATATTTGGGGAAATCTTGTTTCTAAAGGCGAGAGAGGTTGTGAAGAAGTCCGAGGTTGTTGATCCGGTCGGGAAAGGGAAGCCAAGGCGACGGGATGGTTCACTTCTTTTCGCCACCCTCCTCCTCCACTGGACCCAACGTGTGCCATTGAGCGATGGGTCGTCGTGGAGAAGCCAGCATGTCCATCCAGTGTCTAGAAAAAAGGACTTTACTTAGCTTCTTTGCTCTCGTAGACATTCAACAGATTGTTTTGCTTTCCTGGTCTAAAATCAACGTCCGGGTTACCGGTGGAGATCAAGTTTCTCAGCGAGGAAAAGTGCAGCGGTTCGCAAGCGAAAGCACCTACACAAGTTTGGATGATTGGACAACGCCAGAGCGCTAACAAGGGAGGTCGTTCAGGGTGTGCCAAGCTTTTTCAAAACGGTTTCTTGCATGACATTGGGGCACATGCGGGAACCACAGAACCATGGTTCATTTTTCCTGAACGGCCCTCTGAATACCAGAAAAGGGGTCCCTAGTTCGATTCCTCGTGGTGACAAATTTTTGCATTTCGAGTTGACGTTTCAAAATTCGCGCAAAATGGAGTTAGCATGAATAATTAGTACCATATCATGATTAGGACCGTCAGTAACCCTTACAAATAGACTTTGATTAAAAAACTGGTGAAAAAGGTGTGACACCACAGTGGGGCTGCTTGGTGTCACACCTTTTTCACCAGTTTTTAATCAAAGTCTATTTTAAGGGTTACTGACGGTCCTAATCATGAATATGGTACTAATTATTCATGCTAACTCCATTTTGCGCGAATTTTGAAACGTCAACTCGAAATGCAAAAAAATTTGTCACCACGAGGAATCGAACTAGGGACCCCTTTTCTGGTATTCAGAGGGCCGTTCAGGAAAAATGAACCATGGTTCTGTGGTTCCCATATGTGCCCCAATGTCATGCAAGAAACCATTTTGAAAAAGCTTGGCACACCCTGAACGACCTCCCTTGTAAGGCCCTAGAATGCTGCATTTCACGAGCCCAACACCATTGAGCCCGCCCACAAATCAGTGCTATTTTGCCTTGCTGCTACTGGAAAAAGGGCACTATTTACCCTTTACTGCCCCACTCCTCAAGAATCAAGCCGGATTTTAATCGAAATTTGTCCATGACTAAGGATTTGGCTAGAAACTTGTCTTGGGGTATTTTGACCCGTAGAACACGAATATTTTACGGTTTAGCGCGAAAACGCTTGGCGCCCGCGCCACAGGCGCCGGCGCTATCACAACAGTTTTGCGCGGGCGCTCGTAGCGCAGGCTACAGGCTTCACTCGTAACAAACTAATGTGATATTCATGTTCTACGGGTCAACTACCTCTGAAGACAAGTTTCCAGCAAATTTGGAGGCTCAAGGGGTTCTGACGCCGGCACCCGTGACGTGGATGCTAGAAGCCCTTGAGCGTTTCCGCTAAACGAATGTGATATTCGTGTTCTACGGGTCAAATTACCCCTGAAGACAAGTTTCTAGCCAAATCCACAGTCATGGACCAATTTCGATAAAAATCCGGCTCAGTTCTCGAGGAGTGGGGCAGTAAAGGGTAAATAGTGCAGAAAGGATTTCATTTTGGGACCTGTCGACGGTTCTTCCCGTTTTTTTCATTTTTCGTTACATTTCACATATCCACCGTCATTTGCGAGCGCAATAGCACACTATTTCGATCCCGGACTCTGCCTTTAAGATGCTTTCTTTCGCAATGGAACAGCCCTCATAGGAAACACCTCATAGAAGACAGGAATGGGGCTGATAAAGGTATGATCAATTCGTTGAAGGCGAGTTCCGCGATTGAGCAGGTGTGGGTCACTACATCCAAAAACCGGTGAAGCTGTGGTGAGTGTATAGTCAATAATGGGGAAAAATGCAGAAAACTGCTGCTGAGCAGCAACATGAAAAGATGCATTGTTCAAAGGCTGATATAAGGGAGGAGCTTGCATGGCGTCCACACTATGGTGGCCCTATCGCTCCTGTCACCCATTAATAGGTGAAGAGACATATTAAAGAGGAATTAAGATTTGTAAAGAGATAGAGTCGAACGTATCCGCAGCGCAAACCCGCCCTAAATCGAGATATACGCCTGCAAAGCTAGTGCTCAGCCATGTGGGCCAAGCTTTTTTCCCTCTTTGTTATATTAGTATACTCACTAACCTTTCCCTCTTCCCGTACGCTCCCCACCCTAAAATTTGCATTGCATTTTGGACGCATAACCCCACCGGGTTGAATCGGCGGCTACTTATCCTATCATGTGCTACTTTCCACGTCAATTCCGGTTTGAGGAACTAGATTTTCATAAAATCAGCAAGGATGAACAAAATCCCCTCGCAAGCGGCCACATTGATGTCAATCCCATCCAGTAATCCTCTCACAACCTCGGATTGGAAACAAGGGGAAACCAAGGGCAAACAAACACAAAGCGAGCCGTTTTAGCTGAACGGAAGTCACTCTCACCTCAGTTCCGCTCCAGTAGCGTTGCACCCAAGCAGACATCGTCCGATGGCATCGTTCGATCCCAATTTGTCGTAGTCCATTACGGTGATCATAAGTGAAACTTTCTGTAATTGAATTTCTATTTCTCTGTAATCAGTATAGAGATTTCACCACCCAGGAGTCTCACCCTGTCGAACGTGAACCACACAGACCAATAGGGAGGATCGAGCGGCTAGGATTACAGAACCGAGATAGACAGAGAAAGATAAGTCAATAGCAAGCCTCGATTAGTTCGGGATTAAAGTGCTTCCGGAAAAAAAGGAGACGAAAAAGGAGAAAGAAAGGTAACAGTTCATACTTAAAAGAATAGGGTTAAAATTGCTATAGTTTTCTTAGACGCTAAGATTCATGATCACTTATTGCATTGAGGGAAATGAGGCTGATTTGTGAATCGGAGCGATTCTCAACTATCCATCGCTTTTTTCAGGTATGCGTAAAGAGCACTGTCAGCTCCACATATTTGGCAACCAGTACGACGATCCCGTTCTCTCCCCAGGCCCCTCTCAAAGCGAAGAGTTGACCTGAATTTCCTTCATAGTCCTACAAAGCAGATTTTCTCTCGAGAATAGATGAGAGATAGTGTGCATCTCCAGAGAAAAACCGAAAGTAATAGGCGCTGGCTGTACAGGGTGACCGTCCGTTGCATTAAGCCATTTCAATTGCAAAAATCTTGATATCATATTTCCTTAGGGGGGTCGGAGGTAAACCAGGCGTAAACGAGCGTGAGGACTACAAATCCTCTAAACACGTTGTCCTTAATTTACGGCCTTGTTTCACACAAGTTTTCTGCACAAATGTCTACAAAAACGCGTTACCCAGATACGAGTCTCGATTAGAACCACTGTAATTTTTTGAAGTCACTTTTTCAGCCTCTCCCCGTACCCCACACTGGGCTCCAATAGATCCGCCTTCCCTTCAAAACATTCAAAACCAAGACCAATTGTTGCGAACTTCCAACGCACGTTGACCATGGCTGCACCTGACCAAAAAAACAAAACAATAGCCCAATCTGGCCTATTGGGACTGCGACAGAAAAGCTGTACTTGCAATTCGCACTGTCGATATAGACGAATGTCTGACCCTGCTTTAGCTGTTTTTGCTACTTTCCCTGCTACTACTGAATTAACAATGCTCTGCCCAAAAAATCGAAATTGATGGGTGTTGTTGGTAATGTCAAATCAGTGAATAAATTATTGACGAGTTAGTGAGCTAATTGGTTTTGTTGGCGCCAGTCATCTAGTGAATAATGATTATTATCAGAACTGTACTGAGTTGTAGGTAAAGAATTGGGCCTAGAATGAGACTTGGATTAGCGCGTATGTTTTTTGGGAAGTGTGCTTATCCAGTACCCTGCCAAACCCCAAGTCGGGTGTCTTTATGCCAATAGGTCGATATTCATATGCTGGTGATGTCGGGAGACAATTTTCTCTAGGTCAATAGAGAACCAACGGACCTGAATCTGTTCAAATGGAACTTCAAACGAGAACGACTCGTTATAGTACGGATTGAGCGTGCACTTTTTAATGGATGTTTTCTTCTTTTTCAGTCGCTTTCCGCCTTGTAGCAGCACAATCTTCACGTAGGGATCTGAAAAGTGTTAGTAAGCGAAGAACAGCATGCTGGTTATGAATGCTTAGACTTGTTAGATGATAGAAAATGGCTTGGGCAATGATACAAGAAACAATGTTTTGGTTAAGGAAAGAGTCGGCTGTCAAAAAGCGAATTATGAGTGAGCAGCAAAAGGAGAGCAACAGGCTCCAGGGACTTGAATCTGGTGAAACTGGAGTTGGGGGGGGGCGCCGAGCGTCATTTCAGTATTAAGAGCACCCTTTATCTTCCGGGTTGCCTAACACTAAAGAGAAGGAAATAGCTAAACGCCTCACTTCAACTGTACTTTGAAAACGACCGTTGTGTCTTCTACACCCTACAAATTCTGCTTACATTCTAGGCAACTATTGGTACCTGGTCATCCACACTGGGGCTTCCCTCCTCTCAGGGGCTAAGCAAGAAAGCTCATTTCCCTTATTCAGGACCACTTCTTTGGACTACTAAATGAAAACATGTGAAAGCGTTCGGAGGTGGTTCCACAGTAAACCGGACTTATCAAAAGGATATTTCAAAGAGTCGACTACGTTTCTAAGCGCTCCTATCATTATCCTTATTGTTAGTATTTTAGAGCATAATGGAGTGCTCCCCTCCCCCAAACTCCATTTTCACCTTTAATTCGCACAGGCTTCACCTTGATTCTCGACAGCGGTAAGCTGTCGAACACAAAACTCTCGTTGTAGTACGGATTCAGCGTGTTTCGTTTGATGGTGGACTTTTTACGACGTAACGGCTTTCTGTTCTCCGTGATTTCCAGTTTCACATAAGGATCTACAGTATACAGGGAATTTTACACGTAAAAGTACTTCATGTTTTTGATTTAGAATTACAAATTTTGGTTTTTCTTGTTTGGAGGTGTGGAGTTCTAGTCGCTCTCCTATCGTCTTCCTTAAAGGCAGCGATTACGATAAATTCAAGAAGGGTTTAGAGGAGACGTGGTGGTGCTCAATGGTACGCCAGTGGCGAAAAAAGCAGAGAAATCCGTCAAGAAAACGCAAAACGGGACCCCTTTTTTGGCCGTTGGTTTTCACTCATGAACAGGTAACAAGCGGACGTATGAACGAGTTCACGCAACGCGTTTGGTGGCACATGCCAAACCACGCTCGAGTTGCTCCAGTTGTGCCGCTGCTGGCAACGCAGCTCGTCCAAATCACCAAGTAAACTAGTGGGCGGATCGCTTTTGGGGGCGGAGTGCTTTCGAAGTCCTGCTCAGCAACCAGCGCACCTTTCGTCGTGAAGCGCACACCTCGCTTCCTTGGCAGCCAAGTAACTGATTCGTGTGGTGCATATGCTTCCCCGATGCGCTCCTCTTTATCGTAATCGCTTCCTTTACGGCGTAAAAGTAAGGTCCGGGCTAAGCCTCACTGGAGTAGTCGCTCCCGTAGAGAGGTGTGTGGTCCGCCACTGCAGAGGTCGTGCCACCTTCGCACATCGAAACGCGTCTCTAAGACGCTAAGGCGCTACAACTTTGATCCAATCCCACCAAACCTATCAAGGCCCGCCCACATTTCGATATTTTACCTGCTCGCAATGTTGGCCTAATATACTCTCTACACTGGACTTCTTTTAACCTCCCGCGACTCACATTGTCACCCATCTCCGTGCCTGCCTCTTATTTGTTAGTCTTTTCCGTAGGGCAAAGAGGCTCGCATTTCCTGCACTTTTCGCGACTTTCTTTCCTTTTTCCTCCGCTTGCAGTCTACTTAGCATCCCTACTTTCATGTTTGAGTGCGGAATCAATAATCTTGATCTTGGCCTTCAACACGGCGCGTGGTTTAAGAGCTGCTCTGCAATCCGCCAAACGCCTCTTGTCATTAGCATTCCCACCGAAACGTTAGAAATCAAACGAAAACTGGATATAATAAGGTAAATTCGCCTGTACCACCGAAAA